AAATCGATAAAGAAAAAAAATAGAATAGAATAGAATAGAATTTCTATAGAAATAGATTATAGCTATCTGGAAAAAGAGTTGAAGAACCCCGTCCATTACCAAAAGGTCTTCCGAAAAATTATGAATCTGATACTAAGAGGCTTTTACTGATCACAGAATAGACCACTTGACAAGGCACGAATTTCAGCATTCTGATATATGCTTCTTGACCAAAATTTTACGTAGAGCACGATGCGCACAACGAAAATTACCGCAATTAACTCCTTACGAAGATATTTGATGATTCTTGATGTGTGAATTCAAACCACCCGCTCATGAAAACTCAATGCTCTACGTAATTCACATCGCGCGCTAAACGTTATCATGACAGTCTCTGCGATATAAAAATCTGGCAATCTCAGTCTTGACGCTTTGGCTCAGCTATAGCAAATTGCTTATAGTTTGAACAACACATGGTGGGAAATGAGTATTGCTTCATTGAGAAGATTGCTGAAACCGTTCTAGTGCGCGATTTGACTCACGTAGAGCTTTGAGTTTCTTGTGAGCGGGCAGTTCAAATTCCTTGTAACCAATGTGAAATAGAAACATTAATATCTTCGTTAGGAGTTGGTTTCAGTAATATTCGTTGCGCGAATCGTGTTCTGCGTGAAATTTTACGAAACATGTATCAGAATCCTTTAATTCGTACCTTGTCTAGTGGTCCATGCTCCAAAAATTTAAAATCTGTGACCACCTGTTAATTAAACGTATTTGTAGATTGAAAAATTGTCGTTGCTGACCTGGTGAAAGGAGATCGATTACAGACTCCATCGATGCATTTTCCGCTAGGCATGTCCTCTGGGCAGAGGTCGTGATCCCGACAACACTTGTCTTCGGCAGCGTACTTTCCTATATCCTCGTAACTGGATGCAATATTGCCAGGACCGCACCACTTCGTACCTGAAACAATCGTCAATCAAATACATTTTACAGATAAACTTGCAAATTGCTAAACGTCATTATATATGTGAGAGACAATATCAGTTATAAGTTTTATCAAGTTATTTTGTAAATCTTATTTTTAAATACTGGTAAACCTCTCAATGTCTTCTCGCTTAACTGTGAAAAATAAACAGATAATTTACAAAAATGAATTTAAAATAAATGAAAAAGAAGTATACCTTACGTAATTTTAAGAAAAAAGAAAGTGTTATACCTAAATCAAATTAAAAACGATGAGAAAAAAATATTAAATTAGCAGAGATACTACGAAGAAAGAACAAAATTAAAAAAATAGCCACCTAAATAAAATTGGTACCCCTTTCGAAATATTTTTGATATCTCTAAATAATTATCTCTCGAACTTGGTATCAACACGTTTTTTCATCACAGATCAAATGGAAGTTATAGAGTATACAAATGACGTCATTTGTAATTTTTTCATTCAACCAATGTTAATTAAATAATGACATATCCCGTTTAGGAGTGGATTTCCAGTCGTTCCCTGGAATTTTTTACATGGAAACGGTTGTGCGGATTTTTGTGCGAATTTCAGTGAATTTTCTGCATAGTACGAAGTAAATTCTTTAAAATTTACACAGGAACGTACAAACGTTCTCTTGTAAAAAATTAAATTGCCCTGCTAAAGGCAATACTGCCGTACTAAGGAAGAACGCCGTATGAACCTTCAGGCGTTGCCAAATTTTCTCTGATATAATACGAATTTCTCCGGGGAATCGTAAATATTTTCCTTCCGGTTTTTCAGACTATTTTGTTCACAATTTAATCTAAAATATCTGAAAATTTCGAGGAAAAATATGCATTAATTTCGTCAAAAATGCATGTTTCATCCGGGGAAAGAGCCTCGCCAAAAAGTGGTGTTTTTTAGCCCCTTTTTTTATACCCGAGTTGGTCAACCGGACAGTGCGCAAATGAAAGCCTATGGTAAGGCAAACTTCCATGCTAAGTTTCAACTTGAAGTGAAACCTCGTTTAGGCTGCACAGCGTTGCCAATTTTCCATTTTTATGCGCTATACTCAAGGAATACTGGATTCATCATGGTTCAACAGGCTAGTATACCCGAGTTGGTCAACGGGACAAGGCTGAAACGAAAGCTTATGGTAAGGCAAACTTCCGGGGAAAGTTTCAACTTGAAGTGAAACCTCGTTTAGGCTGCGCAGCGTCGCCAATTTTTCATTTTTATGCGCTATACTCACAAAATACTGAATCATCATGGTTCAACAGGCTAGTATACCCGATTTGGTCAACGGGGCAAGACTCTAACGAAAGCTTATGGTAAGGCAAACTTCCGGGAAAAGTTTCAACTTGAAGTGAAACCTCGTTTAGGCTGTACAGCGTTGCCAATTTTTCATTTTTATGCGCTATACTCAAGGAATACTGGATTCATCATGGTTCAACAGGCTAGTATACCCGAGTTGGTCAACGGGACAAGGCCTAAACGAAAGCCTATGGTAAGGCAAACTTCCATGCTAAGTTTCAACTTGAAGTGAAACCTCGTTTAGGCTGTACAGCGTTGCCAATTTTTCATTTTTATGCGCTATCCTCAAGGAATCCGGGACTAATAGTCCAGTGCATCATAATTAAACAGACTAGTGCATCGGTCTACGAGCTGAATACTACCCTGAGATCGAATAGAAGCGCAACTAAAGGCCATCGTGAACTTTTTGAAGCAGTGTTGCCAATTTATTATTAATTTTTAACATAAAATTAGGGTTTTTTCGAGATTTTTGACGTTGTACAACCTAAACGAGGTTTCACTTCAAGTTGAAACTTTGCATGGAAGTTTGCCTTACCATAAGCTTTCGTTTAGGCCTTATCCCGTTGACCAACTCGGGTATACTAGTCTGTTCAATTATGATGAATCCAGTATTCCTTGAGTATAGCGTATAAAAATGAAAAATTGGCAACGCTGTACAGCCTAAACGAGGTTTCACTACAAGTTGAAACTTTCCCCGGAAGTTTGCCTTACCATAAGCTTTCGTTAGAGTCTTGCCCCGTTGACCAAATCGGGTATACTAGCCTGTTGAACCATGATGATTCAGTATTTTGTGAGTATAGCGCATACAAATGAAAAATTGGCGACGCTGTGCAGCCTAAACGAGGTTTCACTTCAAGTTGAAACTTTCCCCGGAAGTTTGCCTTACCATAAGCTTTCGTTAGAGTCTTGTCTCGTTGACCAAATCGGGTATACTAGCCTGTTGAACCATGATGAATCCAGTATTCCCTGAGTATAGCGCATAAAAATGAAAAATTAGCAACGCTGTACAGCTTAAACGAGGTTTCACTTCAAGTTGAAACTTAGCATGGAAGTTTGCCTTACCATAGGCTTTCGTTTAGGCCTTGTCCCGTTGACCAACTCGGGTATACTAGCCTGGTGAACCATGATGAATCCAGTATTCCTTGAGTATAGCGCATAAATATGAAAAATTGGCAACGCTGTACAGCCTAAACGAGGTTTCACTTCAAGTTGAAACTTTGCATGGAAGTTTGCCTTACCATAAGCTTTCGTTTGAGCCTTGTCCCGTTGACGAACTCGGGTGTACTAGTCTACTTATGCACCGGACTAATAGTCCAATATCCTTGATTTTGGCACATGAAACTGGAAAATTGGCAACGCTGTACAGCCTAAACGAGGGGTCACTTCAAGTTGAAACTTTGCATGGAAGTTTGCCTTACCATAGGCTTTCATTTGAGCACTGTCCGGTTGACCAACTCGGGTATAAAAAAAGGGGCTAAACTTGGCGAGGCTCTTTGGCAGCTCTCGAACGTTCATACGGCGTTCTTCCTTAGCACGGCAGAATAGCTGATGTGGCTTGGTTCCTTTTTGCTAAACGCAGTCTATTTTACGGTTTTTTTTTATACCTCAACAGCTCCATCACGGATGACCTCATTCCTGAGTATATTCGAGATCGAGGCGTTATCGGAAAATTGATGAATATTCAGCGATGAGTTTACCTGGATAGATAAACATGTGCGCGGGGCCCTTCAAGTTTTGGCAGGCGGTCATTGCGTCATGCAGCGCGTTGTCATCCATCGGGTGGACGAAGTGCGGGTCCACGATTTCCAACATCCGTTCCACATCTGATCTGAGCATAACAGCGTAATCAGAGAACCAACTTCAAATTGGCTTCAACTTCAAAATACATTTTAAAGGTCTTTGTATAATGTTTTACTCCTCGCATGCAGTGCCCAATTTTTTGCTTTAAAAAATGTGCTGAGGAAAGGTTAGAATACCTTTGATCGAATCCAACTTTTCTGCTCATCAGTTGCCTAGAGTAACTCTATAAGCACCACTTTGCATGACTGCACTGAAAAGAAATCTGAGAGGGAACCATTTTTCGTCGCTCCTCTGACGTAAGGGCGTATCTTGATTTCAACGTGAACCCTGCTGTCCATATAACGCCATGCTTTCCAAGGCTCATGTGGAAATCGAGATACGCCCTTACGTCAGAGGAGCGTCGATTTGTGCACTTGTGTTTGGACAACCGTGTATCTACATTTCGTCACCCTCCGGCCAAAGTATCACAAGCGCCATGCGACGTTTCAAAGTTTTCGCCGCCATTTCATTTTCTTGCAGAGAAATTGTTGGTTGAATCTGTTTGAAAATTTTACCGAATTTTATTGGCAGCACAAAGGAAATTCATCGAGGACAGTTTCGCTGAACAATTTCTCTGTACAAAAATAAAATGATGGCGGAAATTTTTAAACGCCGCCTGGCGCTTGTGGATACTTTGGCCGACAGGTGACGATAACGGCTGCTCATACAGATCTTCCCCTATCCTCCGATTAATACATTGATAACTTAGTTATATTTTAATCAATCAACGCTCGCGGTAAGACTCCCTGTATAATTGAAAAATCAAATTGTTTTTCATTTCTGTTGAAATAATGATTAATACTAGTGAATATTGTTGAAGTATTGCTCAACAAAATGTTTTATTCTTTGTTGACTTATCATAGTAGAAAAGTGTTGACCCAGCACTATCTGTGAAACCGCTCAATAACTTTTTTGTCAATCATCAAAACTTTCGGCTCACAGCCTGAATCACTCAATTACGTACAGTTTGGTAAAATTTTCTTACGTTCTGGTGTAGAGTTTACACTTTGGATTCATCGGAGACAGCTCCACGACTTTGCTTTGATCCGAGTTGACCATCAGAATATTAGCCACGCTTGACTGCACTAAGGTCATTAACCAAGCTAAACCAAAATTCTGGAACAGAGACAGGACAGTGGCATACATTAACGCTGAGGAAAATGTGGATTCTACGATACAGGTTACGAGGGTCCGTGGTGGTGGAGGAACTAAAAATCACTGGTTTTGTGACCGAAAATAGCCTATGCAACTAATCGCTTTAATACTTAACTGTCATGGGCCCGCAGCTTAGCTAGAATAACGGTCTCAAATTCCGTCCTCATCATCCAACATCTATGTCCAAATGTTTGCGTTTCTTCTGAGTATCACCAAAGCAGCTGCAAGATTGTTCTTATGCAGCACAGGCAAACTGAACTTGATTCTCATTCAGTTATTCCGTTAGGTGTTTTTTCTATCTTTTCGTTTAAGTCTCCTAGCCCATACTATCCGTATAATAATTGTACCGATTTTATCGGAAAGGACCCAACCCATATTTTCGAAAAAATTAAGTTATAAGAATTTTTTTGAGTTTCACTAGCCGTATATTTTCTCCTGCCAAAAACTGCAAATCTAAAATAAAAACAAAAATTGTGAAGAAGGGTTAAAGTTGATTGTTTACATTGAGCCTTATGTATATAGGAATAAAACTTCAAACCTCTTTTTCTCAGTTTCAACTCAATGTGGGCTGGTTCCTTTCTGATGAACTCGGTCCACTTTTTCTAAATAATTTTTCAGGAAATCCGTGTTTTATCAAAGGAAATTTTGCAATAGCGGAAGGTTCATACGGCGTTTTTCCTCAACTAGGAAAATTTTTAGGGAATTTTTCGGTAGGACCATTACCATTATATCGAGTCGGAGTGTCGAATGATAAGTCCGTTTCCTCGACAGTTATCACATTTTTTAAGCTTAATAAACATGGATAAAGCAGATATCTGATTTTCCCACGTATACACAGAAGTGTAAGTACAAAAAATTATAATCCGTGACGCACCCCATTATTTAAAAGAGGGATGATGATGATGCCGGACTTGTAACTCGATGCGTCAGAGACAATATTCGCGCACTACAATAAAAGACCACTCTGTAAATCAATCAATCGCAAAAACGCTGTCTCTCAATAGCCCAACGCTTTACTATGCAGAATTAATGCACCGTGAGGCGCGGGCGATATGCTGTTTCCTGATTATTCGATTAGGATAGACCTCGGCCATGGGATGACTGGAAAATAGGTTTTAATATTTTTTTTGCGTCGCACATTCGGCATGAAACGTAATTATGATTTAATCTGCGAATTAAATGGTATATTCTGCTGGGACTTATCAGGTAGAAATATTATGAAGAAGATGATTCTGATAAATTTTGGAATTACAATCAGAACTGCGAGTAATAGACTGAAAAATTAAAACAAATTCCAAAATTTTTAATGTGCTCATCAAAATTTTTGAGCAATTTTTCAAGGAACAATTCTTCTCAAGGTTTAAGTAAAAGCTTACTCAGGACCGATTGAAACTCATACTTGAGGAAAGTACACACTTCAAGACGTTCATTATATTTTATGGTTTTGCTTCGATTCTTATGAATTGTACCTATAAGTTGGGCTGACTGAATAATATGCAATATGGGGAGTTTTTTTCTTAGAAAAAAAAACAAAGAATTATACATACCGGATTAGGAGGCATTAGAAATCAGACGAGAGAAGAAGGAGAAGGCGGAGGAGGAGAAAATAGAAACACGAGAAGAAGAAGGAAAAGGGGGAAAGGAGAGGAGGATGAAGGAAGGAGAAAGGGAGGGGAGGAGAATTGAAGAAAGTGGAAGAGAATAAGAGGAAGCAACAGAGGTAGAAGAAGGAGAAGAGGAAGAAGTGGCAGTACAGTAAGAGAAGGCAGCGGAAAAAGAATGAGGAGAGAAGTACAAATAAACTGAACTTTTTCTTCTCTCTCTTCCCATTTCTAAAGCTATCTGCGGGATGCTTGTCGAAATCGATAGACAAGGCTATAGACCAAAAAGGCAAGAGGGACATAGAGGAATGCTATTATAGTGGAGGCAGGTGGTTACAATAGACAAAGGAGGTTGGTAATAGACTAACAAACGGCAACCACGAGAGACCCTGCAGTTAGCCCATTATTTTCTCCTTAGTCTATAGCAAACGCCATTCAGTCAAGAGGATCGCTCTATGTCTTCTTTGTCTATCACTTTATCTATAAATTTCAATAATCAGCTCACATGATCTGACTCGTGTGGAGTGTCTCATGATCTGAATTTGTTTTTCTATGGCTAGGTTATTCTAGCCGCTTATGGTAGCTCTATGACCACCGTGCGACGCGTCAGTGGGCGTAAAATTAATATCTGAATAGTGCTGCAATAACTAAGCGTTTTCACGGGTAGTTAAAACCAGCGCCGCGGCGCGGCGCGGCGCGTCGGGTGAAAAGCTCAATGACATCAATTCAATAAAAACATCATCCGGGAGATGGGCTGGTGACACGCGAGTGATCAGCTGTAAGGGCACGTTTATTTTGGCTTCGTCATCGCCGATCTTTGTATTTCCTGCGGCCGGTGCCAGCACAGGAAACAAGAATAATACAACCTGTAAGGTCCATTCTTCCAGCACTCCTGCTTCCAAAAGGTTGCAAGTATTGTCCTAGGCACTTGACCCTCTTGACTTTTTGTGGGATGTCAGCGCTAGGGTCACCCGAATTTTTGGCATACTGACAGATCCAGGTCATGCAAATTGCTTCTGGGTAGGTCCGGTCTTTTTCTGCGTTGTATTCCCGACAGCATCCGTTAATATTTGATCCGCACGCATTCGGTTTTAGTGCGCATTTCACTTTTTTCTTCTTTTTTGGTGACTACCACATGGTGATTTTCTTATCGTGCGTTTAGGTCTTCAAACATTTAGAGGAAACGTCCGTTTATATGAGTCTTAATATTGCACTGAAAAACAAGTTGCGGGCTATATAGACATACCGTCCGTTCTTGGCTTAGAGGCCCAAAGTTCCGGATGCTGGAACCTTAGCTTCAATTGCTCTGGGTGCTACGCTCAGAAATTTCGGCCTCTGAGCACGGCACGCGGACGTTATGTCTACATAGCCCGTATGTACGGCCTCCTTTGCCGGAGGTTTTTTTTTCAGTGTGCGTATCTTATCGACCCTGCAAGTCAGTTAACTGTACTTTCGATCAGGGTAACCGCATCCTCGATTCATGTAGCAATGAGCTTTTCCACACTCTGGTTAATACTACAAAACTCTACTCAAAAAAAATTACACGCTCCAGAGCACTTATGTGCTTTTCATAAGAGTGAGAGCTCGCAACGAGCTTCGATCAGATAGGAAGAGTGGATCAGGAAGTGATTAAAATGCGCCTTAACTGGTTAAACGGTAGGTGTAAACACGTGAGAGCAAATTTGTTGCAGTTAGCATAGAATCCATCATCATTTTCCACCATGAAATCGCACTTGAAGGATCTTGTCGAGTATAAGCTCACGCAAAATTGCCAGTTTACAGAAGCACTGAACTTATTCAAATTCTAAAGAGAGACCAAATGTGAACTTTATGGTAGGTCTGGCGTCTACGCACTTACATAAGTGTAGCCACCAGTTTTCACACAAAAAATCTGGAACAACCTCGCTAATTTCTATGCATGTTTACATTTGAATCCTCACATCATCCCTACACCACCAAACGAGATTGATATAAAACAAACAAAAAATATGTTCCAACAAATTGTGAGACTAACTGATTCGACATATTTGACCGTATATTATTAAATTTCTTCTTCACTACTGTATTTTAAGAGTTTGCAATCAGTGTACTGCGAGTTTCTCAGAAATCCTCACTCCACAATGTCAAAAAGCATACGTTCCAATGTAGGTTCAGCCTTAAAGCTCTCGAAATTGATGTAAAACAAATACAGAACAAAAAATTATATTCCAACGAATTGTGGGACTAACCGATTTGATATCTTCAACGGTATATTATAAAATGAGAGCCGGTCATATTAATAAATTTCCTCTTCACCACTGTATTTTAAGAGTTCGCGATCTTTGTACTGCGAGTTTCTCAGAAATTCTCAATCCACAATGTCAAAAGGCATACGTTTTCATGAAGGTTCAGCTTAAAAGCCCTCAAATTTACTAGTCTATCATTTGATATGATGTCATTGAGTGAGAAAAGGTAGACGATCTCCTACAGAATGCAAAAAATTAATTTTCCACAATGTGACTGAAATTCCGAGTGAAAAAAATGCGTTTTCTGGTGAAAAAGTAAAATCAGCTGAACAATTTTTCCAAACAAACACCTTGTTTATGAATAAGTGTTCTATCGATTCTAATATATTAATCTTGATCTTGCCGTAATATCATTTCAACACTAAATTATCGAGGGTGAGTCAATAGATTATGCAAATTACCTCCCATCCTCACCTCGCGAAATGTTACAAAAGAATAAGTAGAAAATTATATCAACAAATTATTTGAATGCATAACAGACCCTCCTCTGAAAAATATGGCGTCCTGTGGTCTGATCATTCAATTTATAGCTATCCACCTTTATAGGTGCTTTGATAATCCGAAAATTCCAAAATTGAATACTCAGCGAGAGATAAACCCCAAACAGGGTTCAGCGATCCGGATTTTCTCCTGTAGCTAAGCCTATCATGTTACGTTGCCAAACTTTATTACTGAAGAAAATCCCCCCTCTTTCCTTTCCTTTGTCCCCCCCCCCATAAAATTCATCCAGGTTCTCTCTTGCGGACCATCAGTAGCATAGAGGAAAACAAGGAGGTGTTCGTATTTGGGGCATCTTGGATATTTTTGATGACGTATGTCGGTACGGACGACTTTCATCATCGATTTTCTTGGAAATGGTATAATTTATGGAGAAAAGTCATTCTGTAAAAAGTGTTTGAAATTTATCACGAGTTGATTTAAGCAAAAAAATCGGACTTTACGGCCGGCCCTTACTTACTTCATACTTCGAATTCCGGGTTTTGCTTGCCATGCTGTACCGATCGCGACCTACGTCACGGGGTGAACAATCCTCAAAATGCGAACACCTCTTTCTTTTCTCTATGCATCAGTAATA